CACGTTGTACAGAGCCCTGATCTCGGGCGTGATGGTGTCAATCTGGACTCCGACACCATCCGGGTGCGTCCAAGAGACCCCGGGCCCTGTGACGCATGACTCCCTGCCAGTGCTACACCGGCGGGTATGGTTGAAGGACCAGATCGTTCCTGGGAGGAAGCGTGGTGGAGCAGGGGCTGTGTTGCTGGTGTTTGTCCCAGTATGAGCTGTGTATTTCTCGTTGATGTTTGTGAAGGTCTTGGGCAGGTCACTGGGGCTCAGAGCCGGGCTGATGGAGAAACCGGACGTGGTGAGGTTGGAGTTTGAATCCATGGAGACTGTGATTGGGTTGGGGCTGTTCCCCAGCAGGTATGTGTTGTCAAAGAGAGGAGGAGGGTTCAGGGTTGGAGAGAGGAGACCACTGGGCAGGTAGGCAGAGTTGTTGGCATTGTGAAGTGGAATGAGGCCTGGTCTGCCTGGAACAGGACCAATAAATGCTGTCTGGACCCCCATGTCTTTGGTGAATGGCTTTGGATGGCCATCCCCTGCACAGCTGCCCTCCAAAGCCTGCTGCAGCTGCTTCTCCAACACCTTGTTCCTGCGCTCCAGCTCATGCACTTTAGCCAAAAAGCAGCGAAAACGCAGATTCAGGGTCTTTAGGACGCTGATGTTGGAGCCTAGGTCGTTGCGCAGCGCTGTGGCCACTGGGGGCACTTGGTGCAGGTATGCAAACCCAGATGGCGAGAAGGCACCAAGGTCCAGCCCGGTGAACCCATCAGGTCCGAACCCGCCGCGGTCTCCTAGGAAGTAGCCAGGCTCTGGGATGGTGAAGTCAGTTTGGCCAGTGATCTGGTGGTGGTGCTGCTGCGGGGCCAGGAAACCATTATCCCCCAGGACCGGATTCATGCTTGAATAGGAAAATCTAAAATGCTCGAAATCCGGCATGAACCCAGACTTCTATATATTCAGCTCAGCAGGTAAATCCGTATGAAATCTGATTATTGTACAGAAGTTGAATCAGGCCAGGAGCTTCTTTCTGAGTCCTCCTCCTGACTTCACCCAGTGATTACCTTATGCAGAGAAGCTGTGGGCAGAAGTCAGATGATGTGTTTTAGAAGGATGTTTAATGGGCCTCCGATGACCAAAAATGGCACAATCCCAAGTGAATATTACAGCAGACCTCTCCCGACACGATGCAGGGAGTAAAAACAACAAAGTACCACAGTGTTCCTATAGATCTGCAGACAGACCACCAGTCCCTGCAGCAAATTCCGAACACCGAGTTTACTTTTGCGCAGGACTAATTTCTAGCAGAGGTTACAGAGACGACACGCAGTGTCATAAAAATGTGTATTCTAAGCCTTACAATAAAGCGCTAAGGGGGTATTTTGTAGCTCGAATTAAAATGTAAGCATCATACCTGGCAGTAAGAGGGAGAAACGCCAACTTTAGCACCAAATACAGAGAGAAATCAGACAGAGCAGTGTCAAGTAGCTGTGCAGCAGAGCTCAGGAACCTACTGCGGCTGTAGGTTACCGTATGGATGGTAAAAGAGAGGCATTGGGCGGTTTCAGCTACCGTAATAGCCATAAAAAGAGTGCAGATATTTTTGAAAGGCGCCTTCATTAAGCCTTCTTGGATTTGTCCTGCTCACACGGTGGAAAGCGTTTCAAGAACACGATTAAGTTTAGAATAATCAACTTCCAAAATTACCAAAGCACAAAAGACGCGGTTCCACCTCATTTCCAAGCAATAAGGTACTCAGTCACATCTGCATTAACCTAATGAGCTAGGTCCTGATTAAGCTCCTCTATTGTTAGCCTTGTGTAAACACACAGGTAACGCTACAGATACTTACAAATGCTTTCGTATAAACTAACGTTAATGTTACTATATGCATTAAATTAGCTATTTCTTAACTTATGTTAACCAAACGTTGGCTATTTTGAAAGTGGTGTTTGCTGCAAAAATCTCAGATTACCCTTTAATGTTAGCATTAGCACAGCACGGCTAACGGCGCGAGCTACAAACAGAGATTTTAACATTTGGAAAGTCAGGCGGATGAAAAGTTGAATAAGCGTTTAATAAATTCAATAACCTATCTTTGAAAAATCTCTCTGACCTGTTTGTCTTTGTCTCTCATACAATAGCGAGTGGGGTAAACATTTGATTGACTAGTTTGTTGGGCAGGCTGAGGATTGATGGTGGCTCTTCTTCTCTGGGGTTTTAGGTTGGTTAGTACTGATGGTCCTCTGACACCCGAGGCTCCGACACATGCGCGGTAGCTCATGAAGCGATCGTATCGAGCCACTGTGCTGAGGCATGTTTTGGTCACGTGACTTCGAAGCAGTTGGGTGCCTCGGACGTCATACAAATCAGCTGATTGGTTCGGTTTGTTATGTGAATCACTTTTAGGGATAGATTGTGTTCAGGGACAGGATATCCCTATTTATTTGGCGTTCATTTGAATGTTTATTTGCAGAGCAGGTTGGTTTGTTGCCTTTAGTTGCTTTGAGAGTTAGTAGTGTAGCAGAATGTGTATTTAGTGGAGAATCACTGTAGATAGAGAGATAGATCAATAGATGGCAGGTCGTGCCGAGCGGACCTGACAAATATTCGGAATGTCTGTTTCTTGTTTTAATACAAGAAACCTGTAGGTAATATCTTAAGCAAGCTTAACGTTGTTAAGGAAAACATCTTTACACCGCAAACAAAATGTATATACTGGTATGGCTAGTTTGTGATGACACTGTGTAATTCTTCACATTTTCATTTTCTTTATCTTCCCTCTTCTTTCTGTCATTCTTCTCAGCCTTTGCCTTCTTGTGAATGCTTAGGTAGTTCTGCCATCAAAAACAGCTGAGTGTTTACATACAAAGGAATAAAAAAACAAACAGAGCATTGAGGATGCAGTTTTCAGGTTCCTTCCTAAACACTGTATTTAGAAGTTTATTTATAAAATAATAGACAAAAATCATTATTAATTAACCATAGTAAGGAAGAAAAATGCATAATGGGTTCATATTTTCCAAAAGGACTCTACAACAGAAACAGCAGTGGATGCAGATACAGGCAAAGAGAACTGGATTGTACAGTAAGGGAGTGGACATACAGAAGCTGTTGGTGATCAGTGTTTATAAAAAGGCTGAAAGCAGCATCGTAAAGGGTAATACTGTTGACTTCCACCTTATAACATAAGTGTGTTTGTATATTTAGGAAACGTTGTGGAGCCATCAACAGTAAACAACTGACTTACCTGGAGAAATATCGATCCGAGCAGAGACTCCGCTTCAAAGACTCTCACACGCACAAGAACAAGTGCTGCTCTATGTGAACACACACACACAGACAGACATCTTGTACCCCTTAGAAAATGCTCTCAGGAATCCAATAATATCCTTTAAAATCAATACTCTAAGTTGATGCATTTTTTACATTATTTTTGTTGGTGTCTGTTCGCAGAGAAAAAACTGATATAAGTGCTCATTTTAGTCCCAGCTTTTTCTGCACTTCTACAATCATATGAAACTCAGCTTCTGCAGTGCTACATACATTGTCTTTTGCTTTGGCACAATCACAGTTTTACTACTACATCATATATTGTGTTTACACATCTGTGTGTGCATTATATTATGCTCTGTTTACTCAAACCTACAGAAGGACACTTACTGGTTAGCAGCAGCTGACTTCAAGCAAGATTAAACATACAGTAGTACCTATAAATGTTAATAATCACACATTACATAAGTTAAAAAACAACCAGGAGATGTAAACTAGATGTAAATACTACAGTATTCAATAAGGGATCTTTAATGATCACTTTCTTCTGTAGGATGGATGTGAACCACTCCTCCCATTCACTGACCACATAAATGTGCAAAGAACATGAAATCATTTATGGTATTACAAATATTTTTATTACTCATGTGGTCAGAGAGGTCCATATCAGCAGTTGATGACACGGACTCAATCTTTTTTAACCCCAGGCCATTTTTGGCCTTATATGTGGATACACTGAGATATTGATCTAATCTTAGCACAAATATTGCTGTGCGCCATCATGTCTTTAAGCTAGGTTATAGTATCTGACATATGTTTGTGGGGGTGGAGTTTTCTTATTCATTTGTATTGTTCTTAAATGATGCATCTAAGCAACTCCTTTTGACACTTCTTTCATTTTCAATGAACATTTTATATGTTTTGCAGACAATAGAGCATGCACTTTTTATTTTTTAGGTTGCTCATGACAATCTCCTATTCATCTCGCTTATGAAAAACATCTTCATCCTGAACTTATGTCCTTAACAACAATTTCTGAGTTCACAAGGTGTAAAAGTAAAGAAGCAGTAGAGAGGAAAGGGCTCTGACATCTTTATGTTAAAACTTAACTTTTTAAACAAACTGGCTACAGTTTTGTCTACTTGTTCATATGAGGTGTGTGCATGTGTTTGTTTGAAGATATCTGTGTGAGTATATTTGTAGCCTTTATTTGTCGTTGATTATTGGACTGGCCTGGGCTGACACTTTTTTAATGTAAAAAATTAAATGCTATAATTGTTTGTAAATTTCTGCACTACTTAATAAAGGTTTTGACATTGTATATAGTTGTTCAGTTTCAATTGGTTTTGTGACATTATTAAGTTCTATTTACTGGAAATTATAAAACAGAAAACCACAAACATACTGCATACAAGCAAAACCAAGGAACTGCTTGACCTCAGTGACAGTGGATGGGCCTTGGCATTCGATTACCATCCTAATATGACTACATGAAGCACATAATTTTAGCATCAAAGCTGACAAAAATAATAAAATTGTAAACATTTATTTGCCTTAATAGTAAAATGTTTCTGCATTTGATTTATTTGTGTTTAACTCTTTGCTTCTTCATCTAATCAAGTTTTGAGTGCATGTTCACTTGTGAGTCAAACAGGAGTTTCCAGTGCTTCTTGGTAGAACTAAACCACTGTGCTGGTGGAAACCTTGTACTAAGGAGGCGTATTCAATTAACGTAGGTTGCCACATAGAGGCTTGTGTATGTTCTGATGCTTCAATTAACTTCCTCTATTTAGGAGGACATGTAAAAATATATTATATCTAGTAAAATGTTTTTTCCCACAATCTTTATTGTTAATAATTGGTTATCAAAACAAGCTGTCTGACATACAAGAACATTTTGAAGACACTGAAGGTAGTTATATGAGGTAAATATTATTAGGAAGTACAAGTAGGGGTCTATTCTCTCTGTAACCTGCAACATAAAAATGTGCATGGTCTAATTTGTGCCTCAATTTTTTTCCTTTCTTTTTTTAAGTTTAGCAGCAAGTATTTAAATCACTTATTGATCATGCCATTATTTAAATTATGGAGAAGCTACTTGTCTAGGCACATAAGATTTTCCAGGCAAATAAATGTAGGCCTGTTTAACAGAAAAACATCTCTGTTCATTGCTTTTAGAAATCTTTGAGCCATGATTTAGCTGTTTTCTTCTTACCTTTCTATACTGTA